GGGACGGCGGGCGCGGTCCGGGTGGGACCCGGATGCGGTTCCCCGGGTCCCGCTCACCTGGCGGGTGGCTGCGGCCCAGGCCTGCTGCTGCTTATCGCCTTGACAGGCTACACGGTGAAGAATGCGTGGAAAAACGACGTCTTCTTCTCCTGGTCCTATTTTTCCGGGTGGCTGGCTTTGCCATTCTCTATTATCGCGGGTAACTTGGACAGCGGGATGAGGGTGAAGGAGACTGCCTAGGGGACCCCTCCCCCGCGCAGAGACTCCGCAGCCGCCCTCCCGGGAACCCCCACTTTGACCTCCCAGGGACTCCCCAACACACTTCAGAGACGCCCTGGAGCCTCAAACCCCAGGGGCCGTTCCGGCCAAGCGCCCCAAGACCCTCTCACTGTCTCCCACCTGGCCTCCGCCGCCCTCCTTCCAGGCTTCTGCTTTCTGATGGCTGACATGATCCTGCAGAGCACGGATGCCATCAGCTCGTTCCCCGTGTGCTTGTGACCGCAGCCTGCCTGGGGCAGAATAAAGGAACAGCTTCCACTGCTGCGGCTCCGCCTGCCTTTCTGGGGGACGTGGGGACGCGGACACGGACGACACGGAGAGATGTGGGCACATGAACATGAGGAGCACGGGGACTCGGACACGGGTGTACACGGAGGCTCCGCGTACCTGGAGGGAACGTGGAGACCTGGGGGACACGGGCATGGAGACACGAACGCGGAGTGGACCAGGGACATAGATGTGTAGGGGAACAGGGACACGGGGGATTGGGATCAGGAGGGGCGACCGGGGCGCATGGAGAGGATGTGGGGACACGGGCATGGAGAAAATGGGGAGACGGACACGGGAGAACTCGGAGGCGTGGGGGCACCGGCGCCGCGTCTTGGATTGGCTTGGAGGAGGCAGGGACCTCGGGAAGGGGGTAGATCCGAGGACGCTGAGAAGAGTCTAGCACGACAGAGAGGAGTCCCACTCGGAGGGCGCCTCCCTCCCGGGACGACCTTTCCCCTAGTTCCCGGCCACGCCCCCTTCTCAGTCGCCTCCGCTCCGGGTCCCGCCGCCCCCGCTGGAAGCGCTTCCCTGGGTCCCGCCGCGCTGGCCACGCCCCTCCGTCCTGCCTTCCTATTGGTCGCTTGTCGGGCGGAGGCGGGTCCCGCGGCCGTTGATTGGCTGACGACCCGGGGCGCAGGCGCGGAAGAGGGCAGGGGCGGGACGGCTGGAACCGGGGGCCGGAGGGCAGGGACCCGGTGTCCAGATTCCAAAGGTGGCCAAGGCAGGAAGATGGCGGAGCTGCGCGCGCTCGTGGCTGTCAAGAGGGTCATCGACTTCGCCGTGAAGGTGACCGGGTCCCCCTCTCCCACCTCCCTGTGTCCCGCGACCGTGTGCTTCCGGGGTTACGAGCGTGCACCGTATGGGCAGGGGATCTTCTCATAACCTCTGACCTCTGCCGCTCTTTCCCCAAACGTCAAAGTCACACCTGAGGGCAAAGAACGAGGATTGAGGTTCAGACATCCGATCGCTGCTCACTAAACCCCGCCCCTCTAGGGTTATGACCCCGTTCCCCTGGTTCTGGAGTCACTGCCTTAATAATTGCGTGCAGAACGAGCTACTTTCTGTGTTTCTTACTTACCTGCTGGAGGAGTCATGATCCCCGTTTAACACATGGAGAAACTGAGGCACAGGAAGGTCGCTGAGCCCGGAAGGGGCAGAGCGGGAGTTCCTAGCTCGGTCTGTCTGGTTCCTCACCCCAAAGAGTGCTTTGCAGACAAGCCACACTTTCATCCACTGGGCTGCATTGCAAACTCAGTCGACTATTACAGTTCAAGAAACCTGTTATCACGAAGGTCAGACAGGGCGCGGAGGGAATCCAGATGCTGACGTCGCTACAGGGTGAGCGAGGAGGCTGCAGCTAGGAAAGAGAAGAGTTTGTTAGAGAGGAAGTCGGTCTGATGAGTTGGCAGAATGGCTCACATCCTCCACCAGGCGGCTGGGAGCATTGGCTCCTGGAGGGCTTGTCCCCAGGGAGAAGCTGGTGTGGACAGGGGCAAATCAGACACAGTCTCATTGGCCATTTTCTCTCCATACTTGTCCTGAACCAGACAAGGTGCTGACTGCCCGTCCATGTCTGTCTGCTCTGGACTGTGTCCCCAGCATTGCCCAGCACAGGGCCTGGCATGTCGGAGGGCTTGGGATGGGTGAAACTTGGGGCCCCTGCCAGGTCGGGCTGTATGGCGGGGAGGAGACCCCAGGAGCCAGGTCCTGGCATGGAATCTCCAGGGATTATAATCGCTCACATTAGTGGGGACTCAACCGTTCGCCAGGCAACATTCCACGTCCTCGGATGAGATGAGCCCCTCCGGCCCTCTCCAGATCCTTTCGATATTATCCTGTTGGGCAGGTGAGGAAACTGAGGCCCGCTCCCGTCTGTGCCCCTCCCGTCCCCACAGCCTCTCAGCCTCATCAGGCTCTGGCTGCACACGGCAGGGTTGTTGCCGCCATGCCTCTTGGGATACGCTCCCCTTGGGGTCCAGGGACCCAATGCTGCTGGTTCTCGCCTCTTTTCCTTTGGCCTCTGTAGCCCCTGGGTCTCTCTCAGGCCTGGTCCGGCCCCAGCCCTGGTCCCTGGCCCGAGATGTCTGAGGTCGCGTCCATCTCCCCCACCAGGCAGACCCACGTGTGACTGAGCTCTGCGTCCCAGCGCCGCCCAGCACAGGGCCGGGCACATGGGTGCCTCCGGCGCGTGTGCCCCACGGGAGGAAGAGCGAATGTGTCCTCGTGTGAGCTCTTGTCCCTTCCCGGGGCGTGTGCTGCCTGTCCCTCCCACAGTGCTCTGGGCCCCCTGCACTGCATCCTGTCTCGCTGGACGTGTCTGTCCGTAGCCCTTTCTGAACCAATCAATTATTCGAATGCGGCCACCTACCTAATCACCGGGCCCCACCCCGGTACCCCTCCTTCCCGCACCTGCCGCGGCCCATCAGCTCAGCCCGTCCCTCCTGCCCTCTCCGTCTCTGCCCTGTTTTCTCTTCTGTGTCCTCACGGCCGCAGCAGTTCAGGCCCGTCTCCCCGCAGCTGGACCCTCGCCCCACTTTCCCAGCCCCCAGTCTCTTCGCACCAGTCTGAACCGTCCCAGCGTCAGGGGTCTCCCTGGAGCTAGAGCTGGCCCTGCCCCCGTCCTGTTCAGAGGCCTCCGTGGCTCCCCAGCCCCTCGGGACAAAGCCTTACCCCTTAGCCTGGCGTTCGAGACCCTTCGTGATCTGGCCCTGGTCCCCTGGTCAGCCCTCTGTGTTCCCTTGATCCTCACCCTTTGTGCTTCTGTAGTTCCAACTACTTGGACCTTCCTGGCAGACCAGGCTACTTCTTGCCTTGGGACCTGGTCCCTGCCGTGCCGTCTGCCTGGGCGCCCTTCCCGCGTCACCCTCCTACGTCTGCTTCTTATCCCTCCCTTGTCTTGCCTAACTCTGGCCCGCTGTTGTGTCAAAGTGTAGTGATTCTCCCGCATCACCTCCTCCAGGAAGCCCTCCATTCCTCAGGTTACCTGGGTATGTCTGGGTGCTCCGACAGCCCCCTGGGCTTGCCTTTTCCAGCCCTGCCTCCCCTGGGTTGTGATCCTCTGTTTACCCAGATGTCACCCACATATACCACGCCCCCCCATCCCCCCCAGCTGGCTGGCAGCTCCTTTTCAGGGAATACAGATTGTGATCCACCGTGTGATTTACTGCTTTCCTGGTCACCGTCTCCTCTCCCGGAATTTGAGCCCTCGGGTTGGGGCGGGGAGAGCCTGCCCGGTTCGGTCACTGCTGTCTCAGCAGGCACACGGCTAGTCTGGTTCAGAGTGTGCACTCCAGCCCTGCCGCCCAGGTCTGCTTCCTGCCGTGTGACCTCAGCGGAGTCGCCCAGCCGCTCGGAGCCTCGTTTTCCTCTTCCGCGTGATGGGGACATGGGTCGTGCCTGCTCTGTTAGGTCGTGGCAAAGGTGAAATACGCTCTTGCAGCCGTGCCTGGCACGCAGGACGTGCCAGCTGGCACCCAGCGAGTGCCGTTACTACGGGTCGTAATAGTAGTGCGAGTTTATTTAGTCATTATTCAAAACAGATGCTCTGCCCAGTGTGTGTGTGTGTCCGTGTCTGTGTCTCTGGGTGTGTTCGTGTATGTGTGTGTGTCTGGGTGTCTGTGCGTGTGTGTCCGTGTCTATGTGTGTGTGTCTGTCTCTGAACATGTGTGTGTGTGTTTGTGTGTATGTGTGTGTCAGAGTGTGTGTGTGCGTGTCTGTGTCTCGGTGTGTTTGTGTAAGTGTGTCTGGGCATCTGGCTGTCTGTGCGTGTCTAGGGTATTAATAGGCACTTGGCATCACAGTGTACTCAGTTCCGGCCAAGGACACATTTTCCATGAGGTCGGTGAAGCTTGGCGTCCAGGGCTTCTCCTGAGGCCCAGAAGAGGCCGGAGCAGCTGTGTGTCATGGTGTGACCTTCACTTTGCTAAGGAGGACCCTCCAAGGGATGGGTCTGTGGGTCCCAGAAAACCGGTTTCCGTCTCGGGGCCGCCCCGGCCAGCCACGCCTCCTGTCAGTTCCGGGAACACGTGGCTTTGCCCACTCCCCTTCGCCCCTCCTGCTTTTGGCATGTCTGGCACCTCCTCGCCACTCAGGTCACACGTGTCGCTTTGGGGATGTGTCTTCTCTGCCCCACACGAGGTGTCCTGTTGAACGGTCTCGGTGCTGACTGCCACCTCTAGCCCTTTGTCAGCATCGTCGCTTGCTGGCCACTGTCTGCCATCTGGCCTTGGCTGCCCTGGTCACCCAGTGCCCTACCTGAAGCCCCAGCACAGTCCCGGTGACACGCATGACAGAAAGCCTAGAGGGCAGCACCGAACAGGGGTCCTTGAGCTGTGTCCGGGGCTCAGGGAAAGCTGTCAGAAGTCCCTTTACAGAAACCCACTGCGATACGGTGGGCAGGGGGTCAAAGGACTGGCCCGCCCACCTCTGTGGCCACACTTGGCATCCGGGCGGCTCTCATGCTTCCCTTCCCCACACAGACCGGGAGTTCGGCTTCAGTCCCCTCACTGGCAGATGAAGGTGGTGACGGCAGTCACCAGCCTCCGGCTAAATGACATAATGCACAAAACCCCGGAGCGTCGCCCGCCTGGCTCAGGGCTAGTTCCGCTGAGGGTCAATACTTGCCCCTTGAGAGAAAGCCTGGTGTTTGCTGCTGAATCATGTCCTTCGATTTATAAAACATCATTATTAAACAAAAAGAGAGAGAGGCTGTTACTGATTTTTCAGACTCACCGTTGTTTCTTGACTTATGTAATTTAATTAAACAGTAGTTTTGAAGCCGGAAATCGTTTCAGGCCTAAAAGGTCTGTGGGAGTAGGTGAGCTGGCAGGTGTCCTTGGTGCCAGACAGTTCTCGTCCCTTCTTCCTCAAAGTCAGGACTCTGCGGCCCCCCCATCCTGCCAGAGAAGGGTCAGGCTTGGGGCCCTGCACCAGCCCCCCGGCTCCCCAGCACAGTGGTGGGGGGCTGCTTTCTTGTTTAAAAGGGAAACTCCTCGCTCAGATTTAACTCTGTCATGAGAGGATTTTGCCTTTTAGCTGCCGTGTTGTTGACTAAGTGTTTGGATGGACAGGTACAGGTTCTAATGTGAGCGAGTTCTCATTCATTCGACCAACGAGTGTTTACTGTGCACCTACTATGTGCCAGGCACCTACTATGTGCCGGACATCATGCTAGGCCCTGGGGATACAGTCACGAACAAAATAGAAGTAAATCCATGTCCTCGGGGAGGTGACATCCTGGTGGGGAGAAGATGGATGGTAAATTTTGAGTACAGTGGGTGTGGTTAGTCAGCAGGGGTCAGCGCTACAGAAAAGGTTAAACAGATGCGGGTGCGGGGGAGAGTTGGGAGGGGTGCGTTTTAAATAGGGTGCTTGCGGGAAGGTGGAGGGAGGCAAGGGACCCAGCCAGGGGCACGTCTGGGGGATTCTGGGGAGCATGTAATGCGCCCAGCACGGGTTCTTGTGTAAACACGTGGGTTCAGCATGTGGGTTTTGTGTTTCTGGAGAGTAAATTTATCAGTAAAATTAATGCGAGCCTTATTTTTTGGAGTTAAAATGCCTTTGAAAACGAGATAATGATAATGACAGGAAACGACAGGTGTCTTTTTTCTCTTTCTCCCCCTCGTCCTACTCCTTCTAATGTATCGGTCCAGGAGGCCCGGCCTGAGTGGGAACCCCAGTTTGAACCCCAGACCCCTGTCTCTATCCTGTCCGGCTGGTGGGAGGGACAGCCACACGCATCAGCCCCAGAGGGAAGCGTTCAGGACAATAGTGAGAGTGAGTGTCACAGTGTCCCCAGCTGGGCCCTGCGGCTACCCAGGTCTGCTCTGGCCGAGTCTTTGCTGATGGCCACAGGGGAGAAGAGAGAGGAGGCCGGGCCGGGTCACGCAGGCTGCCTGCAGGGCTGCCGCGGGCGTCCCCAGCGCAGAGCTGAAGCCGGCGCCCTCCCTGCTGTGCCAAGTGCCCACCAGCAAGCCGGCAGTCTGTTTGAGCCCGCACCCCGCCTCCCCCAGCACCCCATCCAGCGCCAAGTTCTGCCCACTGCACCTCCCAAGACCTCCGATCCATCCCCTCTCCACCCCCGCTGTCCCGGCTGTCCGAGCCACTGCCACCTCTTATGTCAGTGACTCACAGCTGCCCAGCTGTCTCCTCGTGTCCACTCTTGCCGTTTTTCCAGATTTTCTCCACCAAGAATCCAGAACGGCCTTGCCCAATTCAGGGCCAGGACCCAGTGGGGGCTCGGTGAAGACGCAGCGTGAGAGGGAAGCTTTGCCGGCCCCCCACCTTTGCCTGTGTGGTAGAGGAGGCCTTCATCCCTGGACAAGGCCCTGCCCCTCCAGGCCCGGTTGTCCGGGCCCCTTCGTCCCCTCCAGCCTGTGCGAGGGCGAGTGCTGCGGCCCTTGTCTCGCCTCCTTCCCCCTGACCCTGTCCCTTGTCTCCTGGCCGGGCAGATCCGTGTGAAGCCTGACAAGACAGGCGTGGTCACAGACGGCGTGAAGCACTCCATGAACCCCTTCTGCGAGATCGCCGTGGAGGAGGCGGTGCGGCTCAAGGAGAAGAAGCTGGTGAAAGAGGTCATCGCCGTCAGCTGCGGGCCCACCCAGTGCCAGGTGCCCAGGGCCCGCGGGGGCTGCCGGGGTCCGGACTCCCGGCCCCGAGGGGCTCGGGGCCCAGCTCCTAGGTCTGACGGAGGAGGAGGCTGGCGCCGGCTCCTGGGTCCCCCTGGGGCCAGAAGCCAAGTCAAGCCGCTTCTCTCCCTGTCAGGAGACCATCCGCACGGCCCTGGCCATGGGTGCAGACCGAGGCATCCACGTGGAGGTGCCGGCTGCAGAGGCAGACCGCCTGGGTCCCCTGCAGGTGGCCCGGGTCCTAGCCAAGCTGGCACAAAAGGAGAAGGTGGACCTGGTGCTTCTGGGCAAGCAGGTGGGTGTGCCCGGCCCTCCCTGGCTCCCGCCTCTGTCCCCGCTCAGGAGAGCAGGGCCGTGGGGCGAGACTGCAGGGGGCTCTCGCCTGGGCCTCGGATGTCCCGGGCCGAGCACCCCCGCTAGAGAGCTGGAGCAGGACGGCAGGTCACTGGTGGTCCTGCGGGGTGACGGTGGATCTGCAGCGGCCCTGAGAAGGGTTCATGTGGGAGAGAAGGAGGCCGGGGCCCAGTCCGACAGCACAGAGGGACAGAGCGGAGGGACAGGTGGCTGGAGGGACGGGGCTGGGGGCTGGGCTGCTGCCAGGGTCTGGAAGAGCAGGCGCAAGGACGTGGGGGCACCGTGCGGGTTCGGGATCGAGGCCTGGGCTTGCACAGGGACCCAGGGCTTGTGGAGGGCATGGGGACCCCGGAGGTCTGTGAGCGGGGAAGGGGCGGGAGCGCTGTGGGTGCAGAAACCCCATGACTGGGAGGGGAGAGGCTGGAGCCGGCAGTTTGGGGAGGAGGCTGGGGCCTAACAGAGGAGGCTGGAGGGTGAGGTCTCGACTAGAGCCTCCCCAGCTCCCGGCTCTCCCGGCCAAGGCAGGCGTGCGTTCCGGCCCATCTGTTCCTGTGCGGACCAGGGCCAGCCTTCCTCGGGGGTGGCCTCCCCACCGCGTCCTCTGAGGACAGACCTCGTGGGCCCCCCCGCCGGGGGAGGGGCACAGGCCGGCCATCAGAAGAGCCTGAGACAGGCAGGCGTCGGAGGGGAAACCGAGAGGCAGGGATGGAGGCTGAGGAAGGTCAGATGGTGCAGAGACGGCACGGAGGCTCAGACGCAGAGCTGGGGCCCCCTGGGGAGAGACGGGGTTCCAGAGGGCCGGCCCTACCCCCAATGGGAACTGGTAGGTCACTGGCCGCCCTGCCTGAGGCAGGCAGTAGAAAACAGAGCCGACAGCGGGTGGTGAGAGCACAGGACAGGAGAGGGAGGCAGAGGCCTCACCAGAGTCCGGCCGAGAAGGCCGGGTCCGTGTGGGGCCCGAGACCAGGTCTGCGCCAGCTTCCCGGGACACGGGGGCTGCTGGCACGGCTGTTGGAGTCCCCCGCATCTGCCCATGGGTTCGGCTTCTGCCGTCCTGCCTGTCCCGGCTGGTGGGCCTCCAGCTGGGGAGATGCTGGGTGGGCTGGTCAGGGCGCTTCGTCCTGAGTGGCAGGATCAGGGCTCAAGCTGGCTCAAGCCAAAACCCAAATTCTCTAGCGCACGCGATGCGGGCTGCAGGCGTGGCTTGGTCCAGGGTCACGGGCGCTGTGCGACCTGCTCCTCTGTCGTGACTTCGCTCTCCGCGCCTCCAGGCTCATAGCCCCGCAGCCCAGAGGCCCCAGTGGAGAGAAAAGAGCCTTTCCCGAGGGCCGGGCAAACGCCCAGGGCGGCCTCCTCATTGGTCCAGCTGGAGTCATGGGCACGCCCCTGAACCAATCACTGGGCTGGGGGACAGAACGTTTCCATTGGCCCAAACCCTGTGCATTCACTTCGAATATTTAAATGGAGCAAAGATTTGGTACTGGGGGTACCAGGTGCTCTCGTGTGCCCCGAATGAGTGACTGCCCGTCCCTGGGCTCCTGTGAAGGATGGGATCTTTCTAGACTAGGAGTTAGGAAACTGGCTGTGGCCACCACTGATTCTGTAAATAAAGTTTTATTGGAACACCGCCACCCCAGTTTGTATGTGTAGACGTGTGTTGTCTGTGGCTGCCGGTGCACCAGGCAGAGTGGGTTGCTGTGACAGAGGCCGGGTGATGTTTACTATCTGGGGCCATTATAGGGAATGTTTGCGAACCCCTGTTCCAGACAAAGGCCCCCATGGTGCGTGAAAAGCCACATTGTCATGGTCTTCTCTCTGTCCCCACTCAGGCCATCGACGATGACTGTAACCAGACAGGGCAGATGACAGCCGGATTTCTGGACTGGCCACAGGTGAGGCTGGAGCGGGGAGCCCTTGCTGAGGCCGAGGCGGGGAGCTTGGAGCGCGTCCCCTCCTGTCCCCGCCCTTCTGCAGGGAGGCAGGCTTAAAGCAGGAGGCTGCTGCAGCATGCGGGAAGGGGGGGCTGCCAGCTGGGACCCCGGCTTCCTCCAGCCCTTCACATGCCCCCTACCGATCCCCGCACCCCCGACTTACCAAGCTCACCCCTGCTCCGGGGCCTTTGCACGTGCTGTTCCTGCAGCCTGGAAGAAGGTTCCCTCAGGTCACTCAGGGTTTTCACTCCTGTCCTTCCGATAGATACCCCTCAGGTATCACCCCTCCAGGGAGGCCTTCTTTGCCTCCCAAGGACATGGGGCCTCTGGGGACGTTGTGAGAATGAAGGTCAAACACGAGGCTGTTGTGGACCCAGCAGAGGGGCCTTGAAGGGAGCTCTTGGGGACGGAATGGTGGGTAGGTGAAGCATGGCATGGAGCCTGGAACCTGGAGGCTAGCTTCCAGATGTGCCGGCTGTGGGTGGCAGTGGACGTGTCTTTGGGCCTCTGTCTGCCTCAGCTTTCCTCATCGGTAAAGTGGGGATACGGCTGTTCCCGATGGTCCTGTGAGCATCGGATGTCCTAATGCATTTAGATTGTTCAGAACGGCACCCGGTACTCAGTCCGTGCTCAGGATGACCAGGGAAGGGAGACCCAGGAGGCAGGCTTGGGATGCTGAGCCCCATGCCTTGGCCTCCAGCGAGAGTGAAGACACCTTCCCCTAGGTTTTCGAGGTCTCTTTCTGTGGCTTCCTCCCATTTTGAACTGGGCATCTGCAGGGCACCTCGCCAGATGCTCTCTCTTTCGTCCACTCCTCCGTGCGTGTCTTTGGTGGTGGCCCGCCCTGAATTAACCTGCCCACTCCCCCCACGCTGTCCGCACCCAGGGCACCTTCGCCTCCCAGTTAACGCTGGAAGGGGACAAGTTGAAAGTGGAGCGGGAGATTGACGGAGGCCTGGAGACCCTGCGCCTGAAGCTGCCCGCTGTGGTGACCGCTGACCTGCGGCTCAACGAGCCCCGATATGCCACGCTGCCCAACATCATGGTGAGGACTGGGGGGATCACCAAGGGCCTGAGAGGGTCGCCAAGGGCCAGGGCGGGGTCACTGAGGGCCTGGGGGGTGAGCCGCCGAGGGCCTGGGGGTGCGTGAGTGTCGCAGGCCCAGTACCTCCCTGGTGGTCAGATGGGAGGAGACAGGATCCAAGGGACATCTGGCCTTAAGGAAGGGATCACTGGTCATTTTGGCTAACAAGATTCACTGGGTAATTTCTACCAATAATGATAGTTCGTGGCAGCTGTTTTGGCCATCAGGATAGGTTTGCCATTTATCTCAGGCAATAGAAAGGCTTCACTGGACAGTAAAAAGGGTCAGTTCAACCAACGGGAACAGTTCATTGAGTAATCCTAGCCAAATAAGGAGGATTTATTGGGTCACATCAGCCAATAGGGTGTGTTCACTGTGGCATCTTAGCCAACAGGGTGGGTTCCGTGTGTCATCTCAGCCAATAGGCAGAGTTCCGTGTGGTCAGCTTGGCCCAAAGTGCAGTGAATTATTACTGCCAGAAAGATGAGTTTGCCGGTCTTTCCAGCCAATGCACAGCTTCCCAAGCTGGCTGACTACAGGACTCCCACATGGGAGAGCTTCCCAGGAAATCCCAGCCAACAGGGATTACCCACACCCAGTGTGGCCTTGTCAGAGTTCCCCATGCCCTGGCCAGTGGACACGAACTCAGAAGGGTTCAGCCAATGGGCATGGTCTTGCAGGCGGCGCTCCTGGCTGCGGGCTGCAGGAGGGTGGGCTGGGGCCTCGGCAGCCCTGTGAGCGGGGGCTTCCTGTGTGTAGAAAGCCAAGAAGAAGAAGATCGAGGTCCTCAAGGCCGGGGACCTGGGCGTGGACCTGACCTCCAAGCTCTCTGTGGTTAGCGTGGAGGACCCGCCCCAGCGCACGGCTGGCGTCAAGGTGGAGACCACGGAGGACCTGGTGGCCAAGCTGCGGGAGATTGGGAGGATCTGAGCCCCTCCAGGAAACTCGGCAATAAAACTTTGACTCCCGACGTCTGTCTCTGTTACCTCATTCCATGGACACCGTTCTTTGATTCATTCGACAAACATTCACTTAAGTGTCCTGGGTGCCAGGCCCTGTGCTGGGCGACGCCGGGGACCCAGGTGAGTTATTTCCAGCCCTTGCACTTGAGAAGCTTCCATGTCGAAGGAGGGGTGGACGTGGGCATGAGTCGGGGTGCTGTGTGCCATAAGAGGAGGCGGGTTGGGCGCTTGGGAACCCACAGCGGGCATCTGACCTGCCTTGTGGGGTCAGAGAGACTGTGCGTCCAGGGACCTTTGACAACGCCCTACTGTGAGCCTGGGTTTCTCCTTCATCAGGTGACATTAGTGACAATACCTGCGATCTGGTCATCTGTCGCCTGGTGACCTAAACCAATAGCCGTTTATTTTGCTCATAAATCTGCAGCTTGAGCAGGGCTCGGCAGGGACAGCTTGCCTCCTCCACGCAGCCGGCTCCGATGGGGCCAGAGGGGCGACGTCCCACACGGCTCGGTCAGGTGGCCTGCAGGCTGGCCCGAGCTGTTGGTTCGAGCTGGCCGTTGACCGGGGGCCGTGCCTCCTCTCCGTGGTGCTGCTTGAGCTTCCTCACGGCGTGGCGGCTGGGGCCCTGGCGGGACTGGAATGTGCCCGTCTCTCGAGGCCTGAATGCAGAGATGTGGAGCTGCTTCCACTGTATTCTCTCGGTTTCGCGGTCACAGAGCGTACCCGGGTGCAGGGCTTGGGAACAGAGCCCCTGCTCCTTCATGAGAGGGGGGTCGAATTTGCAGCTACAAAACCTGCCACGTGGGCTTTTTCTGACACACAGAAAAACAGTACATTCTCACTATATACTGTTGCCATTATCACCAGCGTGGCGAGAACTGCGTCTGGGTAAGCTCGAAGGACTGGGAGCTGAGCAGAGGCACCGCCGAGGTCAGCATGGGTGGTGGAAGCTCTCAGAAGGAGCGAGCAGCCTGACCATCTCGGGCTGAGGCCCAGCTTCTCCTTCTTGCTGTGCAACCGCCAGCAGTTCCCTTGACCCCTCTGAGCCACGGCCCCCTGGTTTATAAACACCCAGCTCACAGGGCATTCGGAAAGGTTCAGCCCAGTCATACCTGGGAAGAATTTTTGCACGGTTCCCGGTGCACGGTAAGTGGTAATTATTATTTTCGTTCTTAGTGAGAGACTTGAAGAACAAGTCGGAGAGGCAGCCTGGAGCGGGGCGGGAAGCAAGGGAGAGCATTCCAGGCAGAGGAAACCACCTGCAAATCTGGGAGGGGAGAGATGGGGCCTCAGGATGGCAGGACATTCGAAGAGTAAGGCCGGAGCGGGGAGGGCAGAGAGGCCGGGGCAGAGGGGTGCAGGGGGGAGGAGAGTTGGGGTTCAGAGACTGACCCAGTGAGGGTGGGGAGGGAGAGGAGGCTTCCGGCCCCTGTGTAGATGGTATAACCATACTTGAGATGGAGAACCCAGAGGGAGGGTCAGGTCAGAGGAAAGACACTGAGTTTAGTAGGACACAGGGCATGGAAGCTCTGGGGGATACAGAGGTGCAGCCCTGGGTCTCAGGGGATATGACCGGGTGGGAGAAAGCCACTTGAAACTTAGTGCCGAGGGCACGGGGAGCCATGAAAGGGTTTGGAACAGAGGAAGAGCCGGGTCAGACCTGGGTATCTAAGGCTGCAGGCAGGACAGGGCAGACCTATGGCCGGGAGCCTGGGGAGGAAGAAGCTTGCGCTCAGACTAAGGCTGTCCCAGGTGGGGCTCTCTCTGAAAGGTCACCTCACCCTCCTTCAGGAAGTCTTCCTGGCTTTGCTCCCATCTTTCCAGCTGGGACTTAGCGCTCACCATCTTCCCCTCCCCCCCGGGGGTGGGCAGTGGGGGGGTCGGGCTGGGCCACCCCTCAGATGGGACCAGCTGGTGAGTACCAGTGGGGTGGGGTGGGCCACTCAGCCCTAGCCTGATGGGTGGAGGGTCCCGGTGCCTCCCACTGGGTCTGGCTGCCTCCCCGCCCAGGAAGCTACCAGTCCTGTCGGACTCGTCCTTGGACGGCAGGGTGCAGGCCGAGTATCACTGCACTGTCCTCGGGGCCAGCACCATGGACCCCTCACGGGCTCTAAAAACCTGCTCCTGGGTAAGACCCCCCTCCCAGCCGCTTCCCCACCGGTCCCTCCATCAGCAGCCCCCCAACACTCCCTCCTCTCCCCTGCAGCCTCTGGAGGAGGGGTCGCCACCCTCAGAGCCACTCCCGGAGTTCAGCGAGCCAATTTCACCTCTGACTCAGGAAGCTCTTCCCAGGGCCAGGGCGCGAATGTCCCCTCCACCAACCCCCCGGGCTGGAAATATCCGGATCAATCTCCAGGTTCAAAACCCACAACGGAAACCCCCCATTCCAAATGGTTTCCTGAGGCCCCGGATTTGAACGACGTGCTTGGGTCCTGGGCAAATGCCTCTGCGGGGGACGGACAGTTGGTCTCGGACCCCGCCTCCTCTGGGGGCCCGGGTCCCCAAGTGTTTCCCGATATCTCGGTTTCTCCGGTTCCTGCCCAGGACACAGAACCCCTCTTCCCTGTTAAAACCCCAGCTTCGAACGTTTCTACTCAAGTCCCTGGTAGTGAGGTGTCCGTGGAGGATCCAGGGTCACAGTTTTCCCCCGGGGATCCAGACTTTAAATTCTCCACCCACGGACCCGACCCCAAAGTCCCCGCGGAAGCCCTCCCAAGGCCCAGCTTCCCCCAGCAAGTGGGGGGGCCTCTCGCCGTGCTGGTGGGGACTACCATCCAGCTCCCCCTGGTTCCAGTCCCCAGCCCTGGGCCCCCTGCCCCTCTGGTGGTCTGGCGCCGCGGCTCCAAGGTGCTGGCAGCGGGGGGCCTGGGGCCGGAGGCTCCTCTGATCAGCCTGGACCCCGCTCACAGAGACCGCCTGCGATTTGACCAGGCGGGAGGGGGTCTGGAGCTCGCCTCTGCCCGGCTGGAAGACGCTGGGGTCTACACGGCCGAGGTCATCCGGGCCGGCGTCTCCCGGCAGATTCAGGAGTTCACGGTGGGCGTATACGGTAAGTGGGCCTCGGGCTCCAGAACGCAGGCGGTCGGGGCTGCTCTGCCAGACCCGTGGGGTCGCGCTGTTCTGAGGACGTTTCTTCCCCAGAGGATGGGGGCCGTGCTCAGGGCAGAGAGGACTTCTGGGCTGGAGGCGGGGAGAGGGGAGAGAGGAGAAAAGGGTCTGGGGGTCAAGATAGGGCACCTGAGGGAAGCTGGACCTGGGTGGGGATCACGACTCCCGGGGGCTTGCACTCCAGAGAGAGAGCTGGAGGCTCAAACTCATGGGTCCGCGAGACGCGCACCGCTGGGACTAGGAGGAGGCTGCGGCTGGACCTGGCAGACCGGGGGAGGGCGAGGAGGGGCTGGGGCTTGGAGTCCTGCGCCTAAGGGACGAGGAAGCCCTGAGTCTTGAGCACGTCCCCCTCTCCCAGAGCCCCTGCCCCAGCTGTCGGTGCAGCCCGAAGCTCCGGAGACAGAGGAGGGGGCTGTCGAGCTCCGGCTGCGCTGCTTGGGGTGGGCGCCGGGGCGCGGGGAGCTGAGCTGGAGTCGCGACGGACGCGCCCTGGAGGCGGGGGACCCGGAGGGAGCGGAGCCGCTCAGGGCGACCAGCTGCTCATCGCGCGCCCCGTGCGCAGCGACCACGCCCGGTACACTTGTCGCGTCCGCAGCCCCTTCGGACACACGGAGGCCGCGGCTGACGTCAGCGTCTTCTGTGAGTTGGGGGATGCCTCGGCGCGGGGCGGGGCCCTGGGGCCCTGGAGCCCTGGGGAGGAGGAAGCTGGAGGTCTAGACCCGGGTGGCCCCGACTCTCGCCGTCCCGAACCCCTCCCTCCACCCAGACGGCCCGGATCCTCCGGTCATCAAGATCTCCTCGGACCGCGACGCCGACCCCGCCCTCTATGTCACCGCGGGCAGCAACGTGACTCTGCG